TAGCTGGTCATTCAATTTCAAATTTCAGAGTGATTGCAATTGACCATAATGCCAATTGGAGCGACAAAAATCGCAAAGAAAAAGAGAATCACTGGGAACTTTTACTTAAAACCACCACACCATTTGGACTCAATATTAGGTACGTTCTCCCAGTACACTAAATTAAACCTATGGCATTCCAAATTCTTCTGGATAAATCATTTGGCTTATTTATTGAGGCACGCCTCTAAAGTTTAGTTTAACATGTAACGCGTGTGAATAAATCAGTGGTCTCTCAAAAAAAAAATCTGAATATGAGTTTATTATTTATTTTCATACTGTCGGAACACACATGGCACATAGCTCTAATGATCATATATAGGCCTATATATATATAATATAAAAAAACAATAATATATATATATATCATGTAATTCATCATAGAAAGGTAAATACAGTGTTCGAATAAAGAACATGATAATACATCGTGTAGCATAGCTTTCAAAGAATGTTCTATAAATAAATAAATTGTGTAATAAAATTCCTCTGACTGGTCGAACCTGCGACCTCTCGTTTTCAAGGCGAGCGTCATAACCATTAGACCACAGAGGCTTCATGGTTGAACAGATTCAAATAACGTCAGATACATTTTATTACACAATAGGCACGACTGGAAACAAATACCGTAATAGCATATATAATATAAATCAATATAGCCGTTAACAATATTTAATTATATATAAATCATCAAAGAAAGGTAAAAACAGTGTACGAATAAAGAACATGATAATACATCGTGTAGCATAGTTCTCAATGAATGTTGTCCTATAAATAGGAAAAATAATAGCATATAATATAAATCAAGATAGACGTTAAAACTGTTAAATTATATATAAATCATCAAAAAATGTATTATTTGTGACTAAAATCTTTATTTTTTACCTTAAATGTTGCTATCCGATAAGAAATGAGAACAAAGAAACTTACGAAGGTTACCATAATTTAACACCATAAATTCTCCTTCTGCTAAGTTTGATAATGCAAATGCAACTTGGCCTAATTTTGTAGTCGAGGAAAAGAAATCTGTAAAAAGAAAAAACAAACAGTCCTCTCAACCTGATTCGATCTCTCACATCCTGATATAATATGCAGATGATTGTGTCACTATATTAGGGCTTCGTTGTGAACTACTACAGCTCTTTTTTGTATATTAGGAAACAAACATGAGTTTTTCGACGACCAGGTATAACAAATATTCTACCAAGAGAATTCGACAGATATTACATCGATTTAGCAGGCATCATAGAAATAATTACTGTACAGTTTTCTGTTGTAAGAAAGTATAATACATACTCCAAGTGTTGAAATACACGCCATCGTGTCGGGATTCAATATTTCGACATTAATTTCAATTTCATCAATTTCATTAATTATTTCAATACTTGGAGTATGTATTATACTTTCTTATCTGAGATTAATCAGTGGACCTTTCGGTTTACTGTTGTATTTAATCACTTCTATCTCTATTATTGTACTTTATATTATACAGAAAATGTCAATGTGTAGTTAAATTGAATTGAATTGTGTATTTAAATTTGTAATTTGAACACTATTACAGTAGTTTAATGTTGTTATTTTTTTTAATTGTTGATGCAATTGGTTTTCAAATGTTTCAAATTCTAATAATAATAATAATAATAATAAAAATAATAATAATAATAATATAAGATTTTAAGCTATAGTGCCATATATATTATATATTTAAAGAGTTTTTATTTTTGTAATTAATCATCTCAATTAATTTTATTATGCAATGATGATTCAATAAAGTATACCAGAATATTATATAAATTATGATACCATGATAATACAGAAGTGAACATGGAGTTGCTTTCTTTGCGTCTTAAGACGTACCTGTAGATTGTATCATAGTTAAATTGAGAAAGTGGAGTCTTTAAGATTGCTACAGCAATAACTTAAATATATGAGCAAAAATTACCATCACGGTATGTGTTCAACTTTGCGATAGAAAGGAGAAAGGTTAAAAGTTAAAGTTATGACAGGAAATGACATAAGCTCTGTGCACACTATCACATTTTCTTTGACATAAATCAGTTGTATCTCCATTTTATAAAGTCATCATGTGTCTAAATATGGTTATAGTGTGATGTCATTATGACCATATTTAGGCAGGTCACATGTTTTTTGCCAAATAAAAGTTTCGATAGTCTGGACAGGGCTTAAGGAGAGAAGAGAGTATCAAGACCTAAACAAAATTAGGGAGGATCAAACTTTGCACAACAATCGAAGATGTGCAAAAATAGTAAAATAGGAAAATAATAATTATAGAAGAATTTACGCATCAAAAGAAACAAACAGCTTTAGAATCAGATATTATCAGGAGTGAAGTTGAAGCTGCCATAAGGCTCATAAATAACAAAGATTGGATTAAATAACGTTACATATAGAGTGACGAGAATGGTTTTTCCATAATCCGTAGACTGTGCAACAAATAGACCACAAAAATAATGACCAGGAGATTAGAAGCATTCTTCCCATTGCCCCAGAAAAATGAGCTAACAATTGCACTATTCTCTCGCATATTAGAAAAATTCTACTCCGTAAAATACGGTAACAGAGAGGCTGCTGGACTATCTAGTAATAAAAAAGGAACACTACATCAAGCCAGATTTAGGAAAAGAAGTGGAATATCAATTCAAATTATAAAAAAGAAATGCGATAGAGAAAAGCATGAACTTCCAACAAGCACTGAGTCTCATAATTTCTAAAAAATTAAAACCGTCTTGCGGTAATGTTTGAATTACGTTTGCTAACATTTAAAGAATGTACTCACTTTGCGATGTATAAGATTCCATTGTAACTGAAGTGGATCCATCCATTTGCATAGTTGTTGTATTACCAATATCTACAGTAAACATCATTTTTTTTTGCATACAAAGTATTTGAAATATATATATATATATATATATATATATATATATATATATATATATGTGTGTGTGTGTGTGTGTGATTTATATGTGTGTGTGATTCTAGCATACAAAGTATTTGTAATTAAGTAATATAATAAGCTTACAAAGATAATAACAGATTAAAGAGAAACAGGATTTTTATTTAAAGACAACGTTTAATCAGCAAACAAGATGGCTAGGCTGTATTAAGGCAAGGTTAGATAGGTACTTATTATAACTTGTATACCAAGGGTAGATAGCACCTGCCTGGACCCAATGGAACCACCCTGCTGCCTGGATACTAGTCACGACATAATGTTACTGCTTTTATTCAGTACATTATTGTTGTCAAGATTGTTTTACAGCATAATTATGTACAGTACTTACACGACGGCGCAGTAACTGTTGGCTCAGTTTGCTCCACTATCAATGTCGTTGAATATTCTGCAGTTCAATATAGAATAAGTACTTAACCATGAAGTACTTCTAGAATGTATACACACCCACCCACCCACACACGCACTCACACACACACATTTTTATATAGGCCTAAATTTCAAATGTAATTAACATAATTATACAAAATATCAAAATTATATGAACATAGCTTAAAACATAATTTCGGCAACCATTATATATTTATAAGCTTTACCTGTGTATATTGTTCCATATAATTGCACTTCACATAATGTCAAAAAATTTGTTTTGCCCTCCAGCTGGACAGACACAATGTTTCCGACAGTTCCAGGTTCACATCTTAATGTTATGATTCCTGCTGCTACACTGGCATCATCCTCTGATACAGGCGGCCCACATGCGGTATTTAGCTTTAAATTGTTTTTACTTTTTCCAACTCTTACTTGAGCACCTTCTAGGCGTCTAGCTGAAAAATAAATCGAAGTAGTCATCCTTATCATAATCATTATCATTGTCGTCGTAATAGAGTAATTACAATAGAAGACCCGGAACTTTCGGACACATTGTTTGTGTCCATCTGAAGGGCAAAACATTCACTATTCACTACTACCACTACTACCATTACCACCACTACTGCTATTACTTCATAGTCCTAATGTCAACTAAAATAGAAAACTACAAAAAAAAAAAGCTCACGTTGTTTTTCTCT